TCTCAAATGAATCTTCATGTGACCTTTGAGTGCCGAGGATTGCGAGAACTGTTTACCGCATACCTTACAGCTAAATGGCTTCTCTCCGGTATGCACCCTGATATGTGTCGTCAAGTTCCCTGATTGGCTGAATGACTTTCCGCAATAGGAACACTTAAAGGGTTTCTCTCCTCTGTGAATGCGCAAGTGCACCTTTGAGGAAGAAATCGGTGTTTTTAGCAATCTCGTACCCAAAGGTATTTTTCCTTACTGCGCATGCTCGCTTTGTCGAGCATGCGCAGTAAGAAATAAAGGCTCCGGAAACGAGGGTGGAATTTTAGCTATACTACTTGAGCCACAGAGAAACTCATGGATAGAATTGAATTTTTTTTTTTTTTTTTTTTGAAACGTCAGGTTTTGCAGGGAGAAAAACCGGAGGCATGGAGAAAGACCCTTTGAGTCAAGAGAGAGACCAAAACGACTTTACTGACATATAATGTGATGATTTCAGAGGTTAGAGGCAATCGAATGTACCTTACTCACCCTCTCGATTCGACACCTTTGACTCAGACTATTGTCATAGACGATTCCAAGGCATGCTATGCTACTCTTGGCAATCCCTCACCTTGAGTGTAGTGACTCGTCCAAACACCTTGTGACACACAGGACACGTGGTGTTTTGAGGCGTCAGTTTCCGTTCTTCACTTCTACAGAGAGACTTCCCCCCAGCACATACAACATGATTTGATGAAATCGATACAGTTTGTCCGCAGTTTTGGCCTCCTTGGGCTGTGTGGATGATGTCTTTTCCTGTTTCTGGCGCGACCAGGGAAAGTGGCGATAAACATCTGAAGACCAATTATCAGAAAGATTAGCACACTAGCTAGAATGGCTCATAAGGAAAAGTGGCCCACGGAAACGCGTACAAGGGATGAACTTCAGTTTGATCAAGGACCCGGATTCGCAGTGGTAGACGTACCCCTCGTATCTTTCTGACTCCCGCTATGCATGTCAAAGGCACTTTTTTCGAGATGATAAAAGTTTTACAGTAACAACAAAAGCAGCGGCTAGCAAGATCGGCAACACCACCAGTAACAATGACAACAAGGGCCACAACAACAATAACAGCAGCAATAGCAAAGAACAGCAACAACAACAATAACAACAACAACAATAGCAGCAGCAGCAACAACAACAACAACAACAGCAACAATAGCAGCAGCAGCAACAACAACAACAGCAGCAACAACAATAACAATAGCACTGAGTAGCAGCAACAGCAGCAACTAGCAGCAGCAACTATAACAGAACAGCAGCAAAAGGAACAGTGACGATACACTGCAGCAGCAACAGCAATAACAACAGCAGCAACAACAGCAACAGCAACAGCAACAACAACAAAACAGCAACAACAACTGCCGCAACAACTGCAACAATTGCAACGACAACAGCAACATCAACAGCAACAAAATGGTTTTGATACCTGTGTCCACCATCATTTTTCTCGTAAGCATGAACTTTAAGCCCTGTATCTCCACTGGAGTTTACTGGTCTACTAAATGAAGAGGTAGCCTCCGAGTAAGAGAACTTTAGCTTATCACTTGCTGGAGTGAAAACGGGTCCATTTGATGGAGGAGAATAAATCTCTCAATAATGGCCGATCGGATAGGAATAGGGAAATCTTGCACCAGCATATAAGAATTGAGAGTGAAATGGTAAGAGCGAAGAAGAAGCTGAAGAGGACAAGAAAAAATAACATCACTAATTTGAGAGGAATACTGTGAACAGTTTTTTTTTTCTTTTTTTTTTTTTTTTATTTTTTATTTTTAATTTAAATAACAAAGACACGGCGGCCATGTTGGAGGATATAACAAAAGAAATCATTGACAATTCTTTTGTTAAGTTCCTCCAACATGGCCGCCGTGAAAACCATCAATTGTCGTTAAATACTACCTTGTCTTGGGCCCACGATCATACTAAAGTGTTAGAAATGGTAGGTGGTATTCAAACGGACCCTATGATTACGGTCTGTTGTTTAAGAACTCGTCTTTTCCATTTTTATTTTATTGATTTCTTCACACACACACACACACACACACAAAACAAAACAAAAACAAAAACAAAACAAAACAAAACAAAACAAAACAAAACAAAACAACAACAACAAAAAAAGACACATTACGCCCAAGGGCGCTAGGGCAAATATTGGTGGTTTATTAGCCGGTTATATACGCCAAAAATACTACTGTGACCAACTGTTCAATCGTACGTAAGGAACTACTGTATCCTATACCTGCCTCGTGACCGCTTAAGTAAGCGTACGCGTCGGTTAATAAGTTAATAAGTTAATCCAAATCCCTTAAATAACCAAGAATGAACAGTTCGATTGAACCGATTGAACCGTTGGTCACAGCAGTATTTTTGGCGTATATAGACGGGAAAACTGAAAAAATCAAGCCAGCACATAACAGAACAGATAAGTAATCGGTAGTATACACTTAACATATAGATCTTTACCGAGTGACACTAAAAGCACATTTCATAGATAAGTAAAAGTTTAAACAATTTCTAACGCCTAAAAAAACACCAATATAACGGAGTCTATTAAACGGTTAAAAAACCACCAATTTTTGCCCTAGCGCCCTTGTTACGCCCATAGGAATAACAAACAACACAGCACAAAGAAAGAAAAGAAAAGAAAAGAAAAGAAAAGAAAAGAAAAGAAAAGAAAAGACGAGTCTGTGACAGGAGGCGTTAACAGGACGGAGTCCAAAATACAACCGCCCCCGCCTAAGATAGAGAGAAAAACCGACTATCAGTAGATCAAAATCTCAAATTCTATATAATATATAGAATATAGAATAACGATATGTCAATAATGAATAATATATTTATTTAGTATAAATACCCAGGTGATTATTGAAAATCTCGCGCGCTGATTGGTCGAGAAACTCAGATTATCACACGATAATCACCTCCAGCGATAATACAAAATGGCGGCCAGCCGCTTTGTTGCTGTTACCGGGAAAAAATGTGTTTTATCTTTGTTTTTCTTTTTTTCCCCTTTCTTTAAAAGAATCACCTGTGTATTTATACTAAAACAATTATTCACCTCAGGGTCAGTGAATATCGGGAATATTATTCCCCGATATTCACCGACTTTGCCTTCGGCGAATACTGTTAAATATATTCTCACCATAACAAGATGTGGGACGAACAACACGAAATGCTGACGATCTTGTTTCAACGGTGTTCGTAGATTCTTCCATTCTTATAAGGTAGTCAAACAACCCCAGGAATGTTAGATTCTTTATTGCAATGTTTGTCTTAAATAATTTTCATCATGTTTTTGTTTTAATATCGCTAAGCAACACTCAAATACCTTAAGGTATCTGTTGCTACAGCAAATTTGGTCACTTAGCAACCGGATAACATCAAATAAATACCATGTTTTAATTTTAAGTCATTTTAAGGTATCAGTTGCTATAGCAAAAACGGTCACTTAGCAACCAAATAAGATGGAATAGATGCCATGTTTGAATCTTATGGAATTGCATTTGTGTTGCTAAGCAATGAATTGAGTCAAAGGTACCGTTGTCGGAAAAAGAAAAGAAAATTCCAGATGACAATCGACAGTGTGTGTTATTTATAATAGTTTTACTGATTTATAACTTGTGTTTGATAAATTGATCAAAACTATATAACTTATATGCCTATTGACCGGTGAACCACTTCCCAATTTACTTATAATTTCCAAACGAGAATAGAGCCTTTGAACCATCAACTAATGACAGCCCAATAGAGGCACACAACAAGTAGAGCTTTTTCTTCTTTGGGAAACCGCAGAAGAAAAAAAAMAAAACAGTTCCATGAAGTGTTTATCGYACGACACGAAAAACTGAGAAATAGTCCCTGAAAAACAACTATTATTATTATTATAAACAAGCAAACATAAGCTTAAAAGTCTCGTGACGGTGAGCCGCTCAAAGGAAAAGGAGAACATTTTCTGCGCATAACGTTACGCTTTTCGCTTTTTTTTTTTTCTTTTTTCCTTCTTTGCTCAAGCAATGGTCGTAATACATGGGAATGATAAATGTAGACATCGTCATATAAACAGATTTTGAAATATATATAATTGATAGACCTTTCGCAAATACACCGATCCTGCATTCATTGCTTTACCTCCCTAGTTACTGTTGCTACGTCGGACAAGCTAAAATGCCTTTTTGATATACATCGTGGAACAGACACCGATTGCTGAAGGCACATCAAGAAAAAATCGATAACTACCGAAAAAAAATTATGAATTCAAGTTTATTGATCGGTCATTCTGTATTCCAATGGGAGAATTGTTGAGCGGTCATTTAAGCGAATTCGGGAAAAAACGAAAGAGCGAGATGCAAAAATGAAAGAAGCAAAGGTCGCGTCTTTCAGAAGGTCTAACTCAATATTGTTTTGGCCAATCTCGACAGCTTTACTTAGCGGGTGCAAAATATATTGAAAATAAGGGGGGAAAGGAAAAAATGAAAAAACATTAATAATTAGAACTATGGTGTATAATGTAAGTGTTCTTTAACCTATTTGTCTTACAAATCGGTAACTTAAAGTATATTTGGCTTTTTTTTGCAATATAGGTAGACTCGTTACGTGATGGAAGCAATCCGTGAAGCTTATGGTTTTTGTCCCTTACAATTTGGTCAAAGAGAGCTTTACTTAACGCCTTTCTCCTCTCACACAAAGGAGTCATGCTACCTAAGCTTCTAGGGCCTCAGAATGAGATAAATCAGAATGTATTATATGTATGTATTCATAAGTGTATAAAACAGATAAAGCATATATAGATAAAGCTAGTTTCCAATTTTGTCCACTAAAACTCCAAGTTGTCTGAAAATCTTTATCATTTCACGAGACCAATTATCATTATTATTACATTTATTA